CTGGAGCTGCCCTGGCCGGCCTGTTCCTTCCCTGAGAGCAGGTGGCTGTGATGCTGACCCAGAGACCTTGGGCTTCTGGGAGGAAGAGGAGCTCGCAAGCTGCCCATGGCAACGGTGGTGCCCGCCTCCTCCTGAGATGCATGTGGGGCCAGCCCAAGCCCATTCCTTCTGAGCTGCCACAGGGCAGTCAGCTTGCTCGGGCAGGGCACAGTGCTTGGCAGCTTCAGGCAGAAGTGCCAAGCAACAGTGCAAACCCCAAGGGGCGCTTCTCATGCCACATTCTGCACCCTCCTCGGGAGTGCCCGCTGATGGCACGCCTCCATCTAGGGAGGGACCTCTCCCCTAGGAGATGGACTGGCTGGTGGGAAGGGCTCTCCCGGACAGTGTGAAGAGGGAAGCTGGGAGCCAAACAAGTGCCTTTGTTTGACCAGTGCTGCGAGGCAACGATTCCTCACTTAGCAACGTCCTCATTATCTGACGTCTCTCATTTATGGCCACCTATCATCTGACTGTACTGTACTAGAGGCAGTAGCAGCCAATGTGCCAGATGAGAGTAATGCTGGCTGCGAGGACCTGAGGTGGGCCCACCTGGCTGGGTCGTGCGGCTCACTGATGCAGCAGTTACACAACGAAGTCACTTGACCACTCTGCACTGATGTCATCCGGCAGTTCTAGAGTCCACCATGGTAGTGCTGCGTGGTGCAGCGATCTGAGAAGTCATCCTCCATTTTTGCCTCCTGCCGGTTTTCCTAAGTCAACTTGGTCTTTGGAACCCGTAACCGTGGCGAGGAGGGAGGTGTGGAGGTGCCCAGATCGGCGGTTTAAACCACACACACATATTCTCTCCTACGTCTGGACGTCGGGGGTCCACAGTGGGTGTGGCTAGACAACCATCAAGGTGTTGGCTGGTGCTGTCCAAGGCTTTAGGGGAGAATCCATTCCGGCTTCTGGAGGTCACCCACACTCCATCCAGAGCTCGCGACTCCTTCCCTGGGTTCTCTTCCACCTTGAAGGCCCCTGGTGATTCCATGGGTCATCCCATGGGATGCTGGGTCATCCAGAGTAATCACCCTCATTTAGGGTCAGCTGATTCACAACCTTAATAGTACCTGCCCTAGCAGGTTCCCTTTGTCATGTAGCCTAACCTATTCAGGGGTGAAGGGGATTTGGAGGTGTACATCTTTGGGGGTCACTATTCTGCTGACCACACCAGGAAGCATTTTGGGGGTGGGGGAGAAACATTTGGAAGAGTTCCATTCAACCGATCACTATTCGCTAAGCTCCTACTAGGTGTCAGCCACTGTTTCAGGCCCTGGGAGACGGTGAACAGAGGCCTCTGGGAATGACATCCACACAGGGCCTGCACCGTAACCCAAAGTGCACGGGCTCTGTGCTCAGGAGAGAATTAAAGCAGAGCTGGGGGATTGTCATTGGGGTGGTCAGGGGAGACGGAGCCCTCACTCTGAAGACATGTCAGTGAAGACTGGAAGGGAGGGGTGAAGGAACAAGGGAGACCCCCTCCCCCCCCCCACCTCCCCAGGGAACTTGGCTTGGTGAACTCTGAGCTTTGTCCATCCCAAAGCATCGACTTCCAGGGCAGATGAGCGCCTCCTCCCAGCTGGATGGACCTGGGAGCTTCGGAGGGCATGGTGACCAGGCCAGGGCACTCAGGCCACTGCCGCTGAAGGTCCACCTGGGTGGGGTGGAGTCATTCCTACGGCTGGGAGGCACCAGGTAGCCGAGGCTCAGTGGGTAGGAAATGACTGATGCCCGTTTCCTGGTAACACACCATGGAAGCAAGCGGTGCGTGCCAGCGTCCCACCTGGGCACATGCCCAGGCCTCCCCTACAGCTCGATGCCAGGGCTCCCCAAGTTGCTGGGCACTGTCTCCGGCGTCCAGCCCTCTCTGGGGACCGCAGTATGGACAGTTATTGTTCAGTGCGTCAGGGAATGCTGGAGCGTTTTGTGCACCAAGAAGGGTAGGGCACACACTTCCCTGAGCTCAGAGACCATCCCGGAGACAGGCAGGGAGTGGAGTGGGGTGGAAGTGAACCTTGTTCAAAATGAGACGTGACGGCTGACTCACAGCAGCCTTGGGGACAGACGCCTGGCACTCACTCGCCTGGCACTCACTCGGCCTCTCCTACCAGTTCACCAGGAAAGGTTTTCCCTCCTCAGCTCTGAGTCCCACATCTTGGTGGTGGGGGTGGGGGCTGGGAACAGGCTTCATGCCTTCCTGGTGAGTCGGGCAGGTCACGTGGGGCCCCAGGCTTTTTATCCGAGTGAGATGGGAGAGCCGGGAAGGTTTCTACAAAGAACATTTCAAAACAAAATTGGGACTTCAACCACTCTCCATGTCAGTCACCATCATGTTCATCCCCAAGAGATTTTTCATCAGCCCCCCAAGAGCCCCGCTGCCTGGGAAGCAACATGGAGAGCTGTCTCAGGCCTGGGGGGCGTTTCTGGGGGTGCAGTGTACATGCCCCCTCGGGCCGAGAACCACCCCCAGCCGCTCGGAGGGAGAAAGGAGACTTTCTACTGCCCAGTGTGTCTTGGACACCACAGGGCAGTTCTACTCCGCCGTCCAGGGTCACTGTGAGTTAGAACTGCCTCGATGAGTTTGTTTTTTTAATGGCTCTTAGTTTTTATCCTTCATGTTTATTCCCCATTTGATTTACAGACAGTGAGTCACATGGCGTCTGAAATGGACACATTCATGAGTTCTGACAGGCGCATCCGGCGTTTCTTCACCATCTCCCTCACCCAGGATTCCGAATTTTGTGGTCAAGGTTAGTCTCACCTGTTCTAGGTCAAAACTACATTTACTCTTCTGTCTGCCTTTCTCTGTGCTGAATGGATTTTCAGACTTGCCCATGCTGTTGCCTGTTGTCCCAGGAATTCAGTCCAGTCCAGCGGGGAACCCAGCAGCTGCGGTGCAGGGAGATGCCAGGCCCCTGCCAGTCACAATGAAAGGCAGTTCCGCCTGAGGGCGGCAGGATGGAGGGTTGGGAGCATTGCAGGGCTGGAGACCTGGTGGCTTTGTGGGTTGCCATGGTCAGCAGTTCAAAACCACCAGCGGCTGCTCGGGAGAAAGCCTGACCTTTCTACTACTGCAAAGTGGGGGAGTCGCGGAAACCCATAGGCAGCTGGGCTGTTCAGAAACTGCCGTGAACCTCAGGATCATTCTTTTGCGGGTTACACCCTCATTTAGAGGCAGGGGCTAAACGCTGGGTAGCAATGATTGCTGGGTCATTAGGTAAACACCCCTTTATTAGAAACTGTCCTTTCTGGGGAGGGGGCAGGGGAGGAACATTTGGTGCCTCTCCTCCCCCAACTTCTGAACTGTCAGTTGTAGAGTCAAGGCCGAGTGTACCCAATGACATCCCATTAGGGCGTTGGTTACCCTTGACAACAAATGGTGCTGGCTAAGCCCTTTTATGTGCCCTTGGTACAGTGCTAATTTTTAAACTGGGTTGTCTTTTTTTTGTCTTTAAGGGGGTTTATTAGTTTATCTTAATTTACCCAAGTCCAAAACTATGTATAAATGAAATTCTGGTTTTCTCCACAATCTCTTTTTTTAAAAAAACATTTTATTAGGGGCTCATACAACTGTTATCCCAATCCATACACACATCAATTGTGTAAAGCGCATTTGTACTTCATTCTCAAAACATTTTCTCTCCACTTAAACCCCCGATATTAGGTCCTCATTTTTCCCCTCCCTCCCCACTCCCACCTCCCTCGTGAGCCCTTGATAGTTTATAAATTGGTATTTTGTCATATCTTGCCCTGTCCGACGTCTCCCTTCACCCACTTTTCGGTTGTCTGTCCCCCAGGGAGGAGGTCACACACAGTTCCTTGTAATCGGTTCCCTCTTTCCTACCCATTCTCCCTTTACCCTCCCTGTTTCGCCACTCACACCACTGGTCCTGTAGGGCTCATCTGCCCTGGATTCCCTGTATTTTCAGTTCCTATCTGTATCAGTGTACATCCTCTGGTCTAGCCAGACTTGCAAGGTCGAATTCGAGTCATGGTAGTGGGAGCGGGGAGGAAACATTTAGGAACTAGAGGAAAGTTGTATTTCTCGTTGTTACATCGCACCTTGACTGGCTCATCTCCTCCCTGAGACCCCTCTAACTGGGTTGTCTTATGATAGCAAGACACACTTGCATGATTAATATGTTCAGGACACAAACCCTCTTGTCTGTCTATGTACCGCAAGTGTTCCCCCCGGGTCTGCGGTTTCTGTTCATTGGAGGGTTCTGAGCAGAGGGGGGACCAGGAACCACACAAGTTCTGGAAGGGTCACTGGCTCCCACTGGCTCACTGGTGGAGAATGGGGGAGCCAAGCGGAGGAGCGTCGGTAATCGTTCTGGTGAGAAATGACTGGCGTAGCCCCGGGAGGTAACAGGTGTGAAGTAGTCGGATTCTGGCAGCAGCACTGAAGGATTTGCCCCCACTGGAAGGAGTGGAGAAGACTTTGGGGAGTGGGTGGTGTTGGTGTCAAAGACTCAAAGGAGTTGCCCCTTGCTGGGAAGAGGAGTCCCGGGAGAAGCAAGGCTGAGAGGAAATTTCAGTTGGCTTCCAGACCCGGGAGGCCTGAAGAACCTCTTAGTCAGCCAAGTGAGGATGCTGGCTTCCTCGGTGAAAACAGTGGGAGGGAGGCGGCCGCTGCCGATGACCACACGAGTGTGAAGAGGAGGGTCCCAGCTGCCCTTAGGGACCTGGAACATGTGTTGCGCCAGGAAGGCAGGCGGAGCCACGGGAAGACGGTCTCAGTATTCAGCCGTGTTCCCCGAGGTGAGGGCTGGGGTGGCCAGCACCCTGGGCACTGCACCCCAAACTCTAACCCACACCCACACCTAAGAGAGGGAGGGGCTCCTGAAGCTGGGGCTGGGGTTGCCGAGGAGTCTGATGAGAAGAGTGGATTCATCTTCGAATACGTAGAAGCCCCCCCACCCCTTCCTGGGCCCACAATCAGAAAAATCACGGTTTCATCGTCCACTTTGAAACAACTTTATTAGAGGGCTGTTTGACACGACAGCTTCCAATTCTTTCTCAAGCGGTTCTTGGGCACATTGCCATCATCGCTATCTACCTTGCAGGTGATGTTTGCATTGATCTTTGCTTCCTATTGAAAGTGCCCTCGGCGGGCCATTCTCCTAGAATGGAAGTGCAGCCGTCGGCGGGCAGGCGTGAGAGTTACATGGTGGTGGAGCAAGGGCAGGAGCCCATCTTCCCCACGGGGACAAGGGAGGGAAAGAGCCGAGCTCCTCCGTCCCAGCACTCCATCCATCCATCCATCCATCCCAAGCTCTCGAAAGGCACCTCACGACCTTCTGACTCAAAATAAGGGGGTGAAATAACAACATTCTCCCAGTCCAGGAAATGATTTGGACATCCATCTTCAACACTCTTGGGATAGCTCCCAATCTTCTCGGCCCCAATCAAATCAGGCCTTCAGACACTGGGGTTTTCTGGGCTCTCCTTCCGGGACACACACCCAACAGGAAGCCCAGGCAGTGCTGGCCCACAAGACAAAGACAAGCCTGCACCTGCCCTGTCCTCCCTCGTGGGCCTCCAGCTCCGAGGACGGTCTCAGCTTCTTTGGACAGACAGGACATAGTTGTGGGCGGTGGGCAGGAGCGCCCGTGGTCCCTTTGTCCTCCTCTCTCCCCACCATGCGGTGTCGAGAAAGTACAACTCACCATGAACATAAATACGAAGATAAAAAGAACTTGAGAAGAACTGACTATTAATTAAACACATCTATAAAAATAGTTAGGACATAACTCTGTTCAAATAAATACAAAATAAATAGGTTCCGAGCAGTGTGATCCATTGTGTCAGTGGAATGTGAGGCTGGTCCCATTATGCCTTGGTCAGGGTTAGACATCCAGCCCCTGGGATGTCAGAGACAGACTGTAATGCAGAACTGCCCACCCCGTCTTCTCTCTGGAAGCAAAAAACCCCGCACATTCATCCAGCTTGTCTTTCTGAACAAAGACCCTTTTCCCAGTGATACGTAATTCGGGCTTTCACACCTGTTCCTTCTTTCACCCGGGGACAGAGGCATGGGACAGACGTGTCCCCCTGAGACACAGCCCCGCCTGCCACAGCGCAGGGACAGCAAGTTTGGTTCTGGGCTGGGGCCAGTCCTGACAGAGGCGGAGCCAGCTCGGAGTCCCAGGAGACACAAGCAGAGGGCAGAGCCCCCAGCCTGCAGGCACCGGCCTGTCTAGATGCCATGGGCCGTGACGGCAGGGAGCAGAGTGGCCACTCGTGCAAGCTCAGGACATCTGGGCCCATCTGCTGTCAGCTCACACGGCGGGGGGGGGGGCACAAAGGTTACTCTTGCCCCTTGCTCACAACGATCATGCCAGCAGCTCAGCCAGGCCAGCGGGGAGGTCAGGTGAAACCCTCTTTTACCGAAGGCTTGTGGGCAGGCGATCGGAGAGCGGGGGTGGGCGAGCCGCCCTCCTGTCTGGACACAGCAGAGGAAGGAGACGAGGGGGCCTGCGTGATGTTCTGGCAGCGAGCGCGACACGAGAGGACTAAGCCAGTCTCCAAGCTCTGCCCCTTGGCAGGCACTGAGGGACATGCCCCTGCCTCTGCGCTCAAGCGCCCGAGTCCCGCTGACTCCTGGACACCGAGGAACACCCACGGGGACAGGTGTCCCCTGGAATCCACGCGGGGACCAGCGGGACAAACCCAGGGGGCACGTTCTGGGGCGTCCCAGCTGGGCTTCATTCACAGAATGAGATGGCTACACGTCCTGGACCGAGGCCCGTCACCGAGACTGCACGCCCAGCGTGATCTTCAGGTTCTCGTACACCACGTAGCTGATGCTCACGGCGGGGATCACCTTCATGAAGTTGGGGGCCAGCCCTCGGTACAGGCCAAAGGCTCCCTCGGTCCGCAGGATCTGTTTGAAGAGGCTGCTCATGGTCACCTCCGGGGCGCCCTCAATGGAGGCTGCAGTGACAGGGATCTGTTGGTGCCTTTCCTCACTCAGCACCGCCCGACTCCCAGCTTGCCTCCCCGCCGGGGACAGACCCAGGCCCAGGCTTACCTTGTGCTTGCATGCGGGTCCTGACCAGTGCCAATGGGTAACTGGCCAGCTGTCCACAGGTGCTGGACATGGTGCCGCAGGCCAGGAGCACGAACACCCCGGGGTCTGCGCTGTTCACTGCGTAGCGCTGCAGCCAGGCGTTCTTGAGCGTCTGGAGGGGGGGTGCGGGTAGGGGTAAGTCAGAGGATCAGGGCGGGCTCGGCCTGCTTGTCTCTGGTTGTCAGTGGGGACGCCCTGGACAGGCCAGGGGGCACGGAGCGGGGCGGGGGGAGGAGGAGCACCTCCCTCCCCGGAAGGAAGCTGGACCTGTGTGTTCTAGAGCCCGCTCAGGAGGATGGCCTGGGGCTGCAGGGCCAGGCAGGGTGACAGGCGCATTGGCCGGTCCTTGCAGGGAACCAGACGTGCAGCCGCCGAGTCAATGCCAACCCATAGTGACCGTATAAGATAGGGTAGAACTGCCCCTGTGGCTTCCCCAGACGGCAACCCTTCATGGGAGTAGAACGCCTCATCTTTCTCCTGAGGAGAGAGGCTGGTGGTTTCCAACTGCAACTTGTAACCACTGGGCCACCAGGCTGCTCTTGCAGGGAAGGGGTAGTCTGTCAGGAACCCCCCCCCCCTCCCCGTGGTGGTGGTACCGATTCTATCTGACTCCTGAGTCTACACAGGGGAAGCCAGGCTGTTTCAGGTGATGAGGAGCTTAGCTGGGAGTATGCCTAGCACTTTACCTCGTAGACGGCCAGGTCGATGCCGGCATAGGGGATGATCCCCAGCATGTTGGGGACATAGCCTTTGTAGAAGGCTGCCATGCCCTCTCTGGCCAGGATCTTCCGGGCACAGTCCATCATGCCTGAGTACTGGCCTGTCTTCCGCAGGGCCATCCGGGTCTTCAGGACCTGCAAAGCCGGGTGGGATGCATGAGCATGGCCCCGTCATCACCCCCAGGCCCTGCTCCCATGGGCACTGCCCAGACCCCAGGACCAGGGCGGCTCCTCACCTCCATGGGGTAAATACTGCTTTGGGCGATGGCACCTGCCAGGGACCCTGCCACAAGCCTCTCGTGAATCCTCAGAGACTCCTGGTCACTGCTGACAAGACGCTTGATCTAGAACAGGGAGCAGACGGACACACGGATGCACCTGGGACCATCAGGCAGGCAGGCGGCCCATTTTATGCTGCCTGGATTTAAAAGGAAGGAACTGGCAACCAGTGGAACTGGTGGCCTCCCACCTCCGGCATGGCCTGGGTGGGCCTCGTGGGGGCGGGGAGGGGGGGGGCGGATGATGCTCAGTAAGCAGCAGCCGCTGGGGCTCCTGGGGAAGCTCCTCACCTGCTCGTACGCCATGAATTTGATGGCCGACTCGGGGGCGATTTTGAGGACATTGATGCCGTTGCCGCGCCATAGGGATTTGGCTCCTCCCTCGCGGATCATCTGGGTGAATCCGCCCACGATGCACATGTTGTTACTGCGGGAGGCATGGACCTGCGCAGGGGCATCAGTCTGTCAGAGAGATCTCACTGGTCTGACAGTGCTCCATGCTGACCTGACCCCGTGGGTGTGGCCAGTGGGCAGGCCCTGGCTTCTTGGGCTTCGGGGCTCACACACCACTGATTTGGGATCAAGCGGTGTTCACCACACCCTGCAGTGTATTGAGTATCTCCACGGGCACGGCTTTGAACAACGGAGCGCTCTCTATTACAGAAAAGCAGACAGCGCTCTGTAACGAGCCCCGAGAACCATCAAGCCCGTCACTCTCAGTCACCCCTTGGGTCCCTGGAACGCAGCCCCAGGCACTGCAGCTTGTATCACTGGAGCGCCTAGGGAGTCCGGTTTTGCTTTTCAATTTCTTAAAATTTGGCAAGGGTTTCAAGTCTCTTAATTTCACTTGAGGGAGGAAAGTGGGTGTTGGCGAGGCTGAGCTGTGTCCAGGGTCACACAGTTGGGAGGTACCCCAGGTGTGCCTCCCTGGCTCAGCACCGTGCTTTGAGTTCACACCTTCAGATCAAGGGAGGCGCTGCCCCCAAGAGTGCTCCTGGCACATAGGGATTCTGGGGTGACTGGTCACTGCTCAGACAGACGCCAAAGTCCAGCAGAGCTTCCTTGCGCAGGTTGATTTCGCAATTCTTCCCCTGACGTCAACCTGGCTTATCTTTGCCCTGTACACGTGGAGTCCAGCCCAGTCAAGGGACGGGGCCGTTGCCAACTGGCATCTGGGTCAACCTGGGCCTCCTCATTCATACCTGCCCCTCTGTGTGGCTCTGCGAGGTGTGCCACACCCGACTTCCCACTGGACTCACCTGTCCTAAGCCGGTCACCTGATGCCTGGCTTCCGTGGCTCAGATCAAATTAGATCCAGCTGTGCTATGGGTCACCTGAGCCTGGGTGTAACGTTCCCCTTGTGGGAGCAATAATTCCGGGGCCACGCACTGGGCTGGAGAAGGACGGGCCCCAAGCAAGGCCCCGGCTGGCCTTCCTGGCTTACCTGCATGAGCACCTTGAGTCTGTCCAGGGGAGCTGTGCAGGTTCTGGACACGGCCCCTGCCCCGCCTCCTGCCACAAGGTGTCTCCACCACATGCCCGTCTGTCTCTCCTCCACGGTGAACTCATCCGGCACCGTCAGGTTCTCGCCGACATCAAAGATCTGAGAGGAAGGCCCACAAAGGTCCCGGTTCCCTACTCAGGAGCGGAACCCGACACCGTGCGGAAAGTTCTGGCAGGCCGACTGGACCCAGAGTCCTCTAACCCTCTAGAATGGCCTGCACCCCAGCGGCCACACAGCTGGTAGGACTGAAGGCCAAGGCTTCTGGAGGGAGTCTGATGAGGACACCCCCCCCCCCCATACCCTGCCTGTGGCCTTGAGGGGCCCTGGTCTAGCATCTGAGCTGAGCAGGGAGCTACCTCTGTGGGACAGGCCTTTCAAAGGCCGCTGAGCAGCTCCAGCAGGAGCTGCTGACAGGGCCGGTTCAGCCGAGGGTCAGCAGGCTGTGCTGCGGGTCACGCCAGGGGATGGTCTCTGAAACCGATGTGTAACGGGATCATGCTGCTGGCAGAACATTACGCAAGCCCTGAGCAAACATGTTGGGGCTGTGACAGCTCTGGACCATCTGCTCCTGAGTCGGCCAGCTTCTCCTGTCCCCAGGGCAGCCGTCCAGAGACACGGGCCAGCTCCTAGTCTTGGGGAAGGCCACCTCATTCCACCCACTAAGACTCCAGGTGTCCCTGCAGAGCGAGGCCCTGGCACAGCCACTGGGCAGACAGGGGAGGACAAGCCCCCTGGCTTTGTCTCCCTGAGCTGGCAGAGCACGGCGGCTGAGAGACAGGCAGCTGAGAGGGTGAGCCAGGGGAAGCCGAGATGGCCACAGGGCTGCATTCTGAACACGCAATGACAGCTCTGACACGGGGAAGGAAGGTGAAGAATGGGTGCCACTGTGGGGCCAGAGAGGACCTCCACCATGGAAACGGGGCGGAGAGGCAGAAAATCAAACAACAGCTCCTCTATCTGCCTGTCTCGAGGGGCGCCACCTCCCCCCCACCCCCAGGAAGGCTTGGGAGAACGTGAAGTACTAGGGGAAGGGTTTATTTGGTGGGGGGTGGAGGCTCACCGTGGAATGCTTCCAGTACAGAATGATCTCCGGGATGTTCTCCACGGGGTGCAGCAGGTGGTAGTCCCTCCACTCGTTCCAGTCGATGGTCATCGTGCCGTTTCTGTCCATGCTGCAAGACAAGGGCCCACGCGGTTGTAGGGAGGCGTGTGTGTGTGTGTGTGTGTGTGTGCTGCGCCAGCACCCCCGCCTGCCAGCTGCACGGCCCACCTCTAGGCGAGCGGTGCCCCTCCTGTCCCTGATGAGCAAAAGGCGGGAGGGCTCCATGCCCCACTTTGCACAAAAAAATGGAACTCTGATGGCCCACGCAAACCCCATTCTGGCCACCTGGGTGACAACGAATACTTACTAGGTGACAGGGCCCCAGAAGCGGCCCGTTCGTATGCTGACAGACAGACAAGGGAGGTGCAGAGGAGAGAGGAGAAACAACACAGGTAAGTGCTCGGAGCGGGTGTTAGTGAAGCAGGCACACGCTGACAAGACGCCGGGGTGGGGGGGGCACACACGCACACGGCACGAGGACACCCCCCCTCCACCGCCACCCCACCCGGGGAGAGCCAGGGTCCTGAGGGCGTGGCAGAGAGAAAGGACCTCCTAGGGCCAACCCTGGCCACAGCTCCAAGCTCCCTACCCCCGAGGGCCCCCATCCCTGGGAGCTCCTTTTCCGGGAAGCATGCTAGGTGGGGCACAATTGGAGCTGCTGGTCTCCCTTCACCTACTTGAAACCCCCCAACCAGCTGGCCTCTTCTTGTCATGGGTCACTGGGGGCTGGGCACAATGCCAGGGGGCGGGAGTGAGAGCTACGGGAGGGTCTGGGGAGGGGCCACCTGTTCATCCTTGCAAATCAGAGGAAGGCAAAGTTCAAGAGGTGCAGTTAGAGCGCATCGCGCGCGAGGCGCCCTTAACCACTGACCTCTTGAGAATTTTCTCTGCCTGCTGCTCAGATATCTTGACGCCCAGGTCCCGCAGGGACTGCATGATCTCCTGCGCGTCGATGCGTCCTGTCGCAACAAAGGCCGCCAGTGAGGGGCTGCTCACCCTGGGGAGTCCCAAGGCCAGGCTGCAGGTGGCCCCAGAAGGCCACACTCACCATCATTCTTTTTGTCTAAACTCTTAAACACCAGCCTCAGTTTCTTCTCGTGGTCTTGGAGGTAATGGACAAACTCCTCAAAGTCCAGCTGCCCATCCAGGTCCTTATCTCCGGCTTGCACGATTTTCTGCAAAACAAAAGGGAGGTTCCGTCCTCAGCGGGGGCAGCAGCCTGTCCCTGTCCCGTGTGCGGAGGGCCCTGTCTCAAGGAATACCGGTGCCAACCTGGGGGCAGACGGGGTCCCCACAACACAAGACACATCTCCCAGAGCTACCAGGGCATCCGAGTGCTGGGCAGCACACGAGCGAGAGCTCTCCTGGCTTCCCTTCAGATGGGGAGAAAGGGGAGCTCTGGGGGGGTCCCCAGACCAAGGACAGTCCTGGTGGGCTGTGCTCAACCGAGGCCTTAGCAGAGTATTTGACCTCATTTCTACACTCGCAGCCACAGGCATGGAAAACTGCCCTCTTTTGAGAAAGATCCCCATTGTTCTGAGATAGAAATGTTTTCAGATACATGCTCTCCAGGCCAGATAATGTGTCCCTAGCCCGCAAAAGCCCTCCATTCAGTGGCAGTCTTAAAGGAGCTACCAGATGAATCATTTCTGTGAGTCTTCTGTGCCTGGAGGGTACCTAGAACAATCCGGTTCTATCTAGCCCATGTACTGTAAAATGAGCAGCCCCCTGGGGAGGGCTCAGGAGGTCTGAGGTCAACTAGCACTAAGTCAAGATGCAGACTCACCTCATTGCTGGTTTGTTAAGTTACCCGCTTATGATATTGCCTATTGATTATGCTGTATGTTGGCTGTATCATGTATGCCTTATGAAAGATCTGTAAGCCCCATTATGATATCCACTGGAAAATGCATTCCCTCTCAGTCCTGACACGGGACAAGGAGCCCCTGTGCCCCACTGTCTGTCTGTCTTTAGTATTTTCCACAATCGCAAAGCTGCTCCTGAGGGTCCGTTTGAGTGTTGGGGATCCCCCCTCACCCCAACAGAGAGCTTGCTACCTTCTCAGGACAAGTAGCCTGAGAACCAGCTTGGTGCTCAACCAGGGTTAGCTGTTCGTCTCCTCCACCGCGCTGTCCCTGGCAACAACCTCAATCCCAGAAACTGCACTGGCCACAGAACCCGCCGGTCCAACGTGGGAGTGTAGGGGAGAGCTGGCGCCTGCCAATGCCTGCCTGGCAGAAGCACTGCCAGGAGCACTTGGGAGCCAGGGCACCACTCTCGGACATGTGGTGGACGGCACTGCCAGTCCTGAGTTACAGGGAAATGAATGATATCACTGACACCACCTCCCCACCCAGCACTTAAAACCAATGCAGTTCTAACGAGTCAGCATGCAGTATCCTTTCCAAGAGCTCCCTCAGGGGGTGGGGATCACTCTGTTCTGCCGCTTCAATCCACCTGACACGCTCCGCAACTGGACCTTCTCTACAGACACGCTCTCTCTACGAGACCTGTGACCGGCTTCAGCAGCGCTGGGAGGCACCGTGGCTTCATACAGACAGAAGCACGGGATGGTTTAGCTTACCCGAGGTCACACAACTAGAGATGTGGTGGGCAGCGCTTGAGCTGAGCCCGTGGGAACCTGAAGCTGCAGGATCTTGAGACATCCTGCGGCCATCCTAACGGTGTGTCACAGGCTCCCCCACGCCAGCAACACCCCGAGCCAAACCAGAACTGAGACTCCCCCAGGAACACGGGTAGCCTTCCAGTGTCTCGGAGGCTCTCAGAGAGAAACACTCATTGTCCACAAACTCAGATGGGCTTCCAAGACTTACAGACCAGGTAAGGCTTGAAAACAGCCGGACCGATGGGCTAGCTCACATGCTCAAATGAATACAGGCTCTCTCTCAGGTGAAAGTACTCTTGGCAACTGCTCAGCCACCTGGTGGGCTGCGAGCGAGGCCCAGTGGTGCTGGTGCCCCACTCAGCGGCAGGCTGGGGTTCGGGAACTTCCTGCAGACATTGGACTCTGGGCCTAGAGCCAAGGTCCCAGCAGGAGTGGAAACAGAATCCTTATTCCTTATGGGGAGGAGGCCAGGGGTGACATCTGAAGCTTTGATCTCCGGGATGTTCTGGTCCCAGGCAACCTTAGGCCTTAGCTCTCAGCTTAGGACACCCCCCCTAACACCCTCCCCTCCCCAAAGCTCACTGCCCTTGAGTTAATGCCGACTCAAGGGCAGGGTAGTTTCTGGGGGTAGAAAGCCCCTGTTCTCCAGAAAAGTGGCTGATGATTTTGAACTGCTAACCTTATGGATCAGAGCTCAATCTATAAGCACTACACCACCGGGGCAGCTCAAGGACAGTCCAGTGCAGCTCACTTCAGAATATCCCCAAGTCCTAGGCGCCTACCTCAAAACCACTGTGCTCACTTTCCGTCTCCTTCTGGGACAGGCAGGTTACCCTTGCCGGCACTGTCCAAGCCCCACTGCCATTGTGAGCATCGGCTATCTGGAAACTGCAGCAGGCACTGTGGGCTCAGAGTCCCCATCTCTCAGATCAAGATCCCTGCTGCCTCTCGCTCTAAAGGGCCCTCTGAGAGATGGCTCTTGAACCTGTGTGTGTGCTTTGTTCCCCCTGGGCACAGCTCTCTACACGTGCTGCCCTCCTGGGAGTGTGGCCATCTCTGCTCTGTGGCCCCAGCTACCAGTCTCCAAAGAGGCGTCTGCCTGAGAAGTTGCCCCTGTTCCCACCAGCATATGGACTTCTCAGGAAGCCCCTGTTGCAAGGGGATTTCTTTGGGAGATTCCAACTCCCACAAGTGCCTTCTCCAGAAACTCCCTGAGCTCGTGGTCACATGACGGCCAGTCATTCCTGCTGGAGCCACAGCCAGCGGAACACTCCCACATTTCAGACATTCCTTCCGCTGGTCTGGCTGAGGACCACTTCACACATGCCTCCCCTCCAGCACCATCCATCCGTCCATTCATCCCACAAACACTGACGGGGTCCATCTGGACAGTCACCTGTCCAGGTACAGACCTGTTTCCACTGGCGATAGGTGGAGAACTCCTGGGAGGGGATAAGGACACTGAGCTTGAAGATGGACTTCAGTTCGGCCGGAAGTCCCTTGGACTCGAAGTACTGGAACTCGGTCTGGGCCTCCCCGAGGAATGGGACATACAGGCACAGGCACAGCATGCTGGCAGGGAAGGCAGGTGTGCGGCTGCCACCAGGGAGCAAGGCTGGCCGAGTGGGGACCGGGAAATGCCGCCGGGGCAGGGAAAACTTGTACGGGATAGGCCAGGGCTCAGCGGTCATAGGCTGCCAAGGCCCAGCCCTTGTACTTAATTGAAAAGAAAAGCCCGCCCACTGTATGTCCTAGCCAACCACCAATGAGAACGGACCCAGGCTGGCGGATTGCTCAAGGGGTGTGTAAAGACCAAGACTGACGTCACCGGCTCGTCACTGGCTGGGTCAGTTCACTCTCTGGAAGGGCCAAGCAAGCGCTCTGCCCTCCCAGCCTGCTGGGTATTCCGTCTGAACCAACTCCCCACTCCTGTGCTCCCCCAACCACTGCGTGCAACAAAAGCCCATGGGCGTAAATCATTCCCCACAGAGAGAGCCCGCTGAAGGCAGACCCAGTTTAAAGTTTAGCTGGGAGGGGTGAGGGCAGCCCCCTGGGGAATGAACTACTCCACAGGCTCCATCAGTCTGCAAGGGACTCACTGCCCACCAGCCGGCGGAGCCCAGGCTTCGCTGCCTTGGCCACCGTCTTCCGGGCACAGACCCAGAGAACCCCCCAGCTCCCTGGCTGACAGTCCCTGGAAGGTGTTCCAGGCTCCTCAAAGGCAACCCGCTCCACTGGGTCGCTGACATCATGGGGTAGGACTTCAGTTCCTAAACCGATCTGGTCCACTGCCCCTTTTCGGGGGTGGGGGGGCATATTTAGCGCCCCCTGGCAATTGAAAATGTGGGTGCTCTACTCCATAACCCAGGAAAATTGCATGGGACTGCTTTTGCAGCCCTCTGGATCATTCCAGTGCCTGCAGGGGGCGGCGTTGCCCGCTGTGGGCACAGCGGCTGTAGCACCTACAGGTCTGTGCTGAGAGGTCTCAGACACACCAGCCAGCGGTCAGTGGGGCCTCCTCACACAGGCCGATTCCAACTCAGGGAGACCAGCAGGGCTAGGCCTCAAAGGCCATTTTAGCTTTTTGATCTAGGAATTTCCGGTATGGATTTAAAGTATGTAAAATAAAAATTCTGATCCTCCATTGCGGCAGCCACCACTTCAAGTGTTCGACAGTCGGTCACGTGCCGTCAGGAGCACTCAGTCCATCTTTACAGAAGGTCTTCCTGGTGAGGCTGCTGCTCTCCAGCCCGGCCTGCATCTCCCACCCGATCCCGATCCCAGAGAGAGGGCAGCAGAGAGAAACGAATCCCGCCCCCTCTGCTCTCCTTCAGGAAACCACTGCCCCATAGACTCCATGTTCTCACTGCCAGGTGGGTCAGAAGGGATGGTTATAGTGTTGGGATCAGCACACTTCAAAGTAATTTCTTAACTTTCTAAAAAGCTTTTTGTTAAGAATTCAAAGCGGTCTTTAAGGAGTTGGTATTTTACACAGAACATTTAACAACTTTTTTGTTCCCAAAAGATTTGGTGAGCTCGTGAAAATGGGCCTTCGGCTACATACTAGGGGCCCAGGGGCTGTTGTGCATGTTCGTCCTCCAGTTACATCCATGACACTCAGCTGCCCTTAAGCCGCCTGATCCAGAACGTCCCTAATCACCGTAACTGGGCTCAGTTGGACTCTAAGAGTCTAAGGAACAAATACAGGCCCCATGCTTTCTCAAAAGACCTCAGGTTGGTTGTCAGGAACACAGACATGCCAGACGCTTCATTCGATGCAAGGAGAGCTTATTTCTATTGTTTGTTTATTTTGAAAGGGTTCACGTTTATCAATAAAATTAACATTTTATAACTTTTAAAATAAATTGTTTTGTTGGGGGCTCTTACAGCTCTTATAACAATCCATAATTTTAAATAAAGATTTTATAAACGAAATAGCCAAGTTTCTCAAGGGCTCATGAGGGAGGGGGAGCGGGGAGGGAGGGGAAAAATGAGGACCTAATGCCGGGGGTTTAAGTGGAGAAAAAATGTTTTGAGAATGCGCTTTACACAATTGATGTGTGTATGGACTGTGATAAGAGTTGTATGAGCCCCTAATAAAATGTTTTAAAAAAAAAAGCCGAGTTTCAAAACACTGGCCTTCCTTTGCTAACTCATACGTGTTTGTTTCTGAAACGCAAACAGAGCCATTGAAGTGTCCAGTCGGACCGATGTCTGCAGCGGCCATTCCTGTATAGGATGGCAAGCATTTCACTGAGAACGTTATTCGACTGGAGATGGTCATTTTACAAGAGAACCCGGCTTTCAAATAATTTTGGTAAATACAACTGTACTGTGTGGTTCGAATGAGAAACTATGAGAAGAGATTTGAAAATGGTACTAAGGGAAAAGGAGACCTAGATTCTGTATTGTAAGGACACACTGTTGAAGCCATTTGCCCTTCTGGAAAAGTGGAGCAGAATCTCCTGCATTGGAGCAAAGCTCACCCTGGAGACCACTGGTGTCGTCACCGGTTGAGATGCTCTGAAACGTTCAGCGTGCACCTGTCAAGAAGCTGCAATGATAACAGCCATTTGATCCCAACTAGTGTGAAAAAAAGAACTCCGATGGATTTTTATTTTGCTGTTATAACTGAGTCCATAGAATGTCCTCGATGGGCAAACTTAAATTGGGGTGTACTCATTTACTTAATCCACCCACCCTTCTGGATTCCACAGGTAATCCAGGCCTCAATTTTCACAGAAACTGGGAATCCGTCCAGGAAAATGCTCCCCGTCTTTGGAATCGCATACCGTGGGGCTCAGAGAGGCTGTGGGTCTCATCCCTTAATCTCTGAGATGAGCACACAGGCCCGGAGAGATGACCTTGATTGGCCCCAAGTCTGTCAACGCGGGGCTGAGCCGTGTAACCGGGCAGGGCTCTAAACACAACCTCCACTTGCATCTGCACCAAGGAATGCCATGGCCACAGGAGATTCTAGAACTCAGCTCCCAGAGAATGCTAGGACTTGCTCCTGAGGCTTACACCCGCTAACCCACACCTGTTTTGGAAGGCAGCATTTTGTGTGGGGCTTCAAAATGCTTGTGGGAAACTCCCATGATCATTCCACTGCCCACTTCTTTTTTTTAGTGAGTGTGTGTGTGTGAAGGTGCCACCTGGGCAAGTGTGGCCTCAGCTAAAAACCACAAGCGCCCGTATTGTGTGACCCACGAGCCAGAGGAGAGACAATGACAAAAGCAGGGCTCATGTGCCACTCCCGGAGTTCACAGGGCTGACTCCGTCCCCCAGAGCTCGGCATAACACACGGAACCCTCCCCCACCCCCTCTGCCTTATTCCAATTCCATGACCCAGATCTACTTTAGTGTCCTCTAGTGCCTATTTCTGAAACAGCTAGTATTCGAGGAGCAAAGCAATCCTAGAGCCCTCTGAACGTGGTGGGGCTTCATTCAGCTCTGAGCTATTAGCCCTTTCACCCTCACATCTGCTAATGCCACCATGAGCTTGGCTGGTTCTCCCACTAGAACGTGCCAAAGAAAGGCAGGTGTTTCCAGCTAATACCAGAACAGCAGGAGTAAGCAGAGGGCAGGTATAGTGCCTGTGGGGTGTGCAGCATTAGGGCATAACGCATTTCCCCCTCCTCTGCAGTGACTCAGATCTGGGCAGGAACAGGAATGGTGAAGACACCGAGCCAGCATCCGGCCGCTCAAGCCCCACCTACCCCATCGGGCTCGAAAACGTCATTGGCTGTGGTGACGGGAGTGTCGTTCAGTGATCCCAGGTTGCCATGACAGCCCAGCGGAGCCGGTTTCCAATGAGACCTGCCTACACTGGGCAATTAGACACACACAATGAACAAGGTTCTCTGAGCTTCTGAGAAGGCGGCCCCACGGGATTTGAAAGCTTGAATGCTCCGGAGTAGGGGCTTTCTTCTGCAAGTGCAGCTTAACTCTAAGACAAAGATAAAGGGGCGCGCCTTGAACAGTCCCCAGAAGAATGCAGGATCCTGACTCACTAGCAGACATCTTTGCGCAGGGGCAGTGAGAGCGAGACAAAGTCGTTTGTGGGAAATGGAGACGCCTGAGAAGCAGAGTGAGCTTCTCTCCGGGTCCCCCCTGACCCCTCTCGCTTAGTGGACACCTCTTTCTGAGAGGAATGGCCAGGCCAGGCTGGATCAGCCGCTGTTCCCAACCCCACCCTGAGAACGGACACTGGAGAAGGAAGCCCAAGCCACAGGATTCCCGGCTATCTGCTTGGAAAGAGCTTAAGCTGCCCCTTCAGGGGCCTCCTTCCAGACTTCAAACCAACCTCCCTTCTCTAGGCAAGGTCGGCGGGGCTCCTGTCCTCCCAGCCCGGTTCTGCTTCCTCTTGGGGAGCAGAGCCAGGGGGGAAGTGTGTGTCTCGGGTACAATCCCCCTGCAGGCAGCTTCTCGCTTCTGCAGGCCAGGAACTCAGCTGTTCAGAACACAGAGTCCTAAAGCGGCGAGGCCATCCCTGGGAGCCCAGCTGGCAAGAGGTGCAGGACTGAGTCTGGGAAGTGGATTTTAAAGGCCATTTAAAAAGGCAGCGAGCGGTCAGCTGAGGACACAAGGCAAGCAGATCGGTAGACAGGAGCTTGACTGCCATTTCCCACCTTGTCTAAAACTGTCAAGGGGCGGCCACGCTGAGCGCACGGCCAGCATGCACACCTCAGGCCTCATGAGGGCTCCCGAAGACCTGGCACTCGGGTGATGCCATAGCCCAAAGAGCCGCCGCACTGCTGAAGCCGCTGTGCCCACAGTCCTTCCTCCAGGGGATGGAGACACGGACCACTCGTTCTCAAAGTCCAATCGGCAAACATTTCTGGGTGTCTGCCCTGTGCCGGCCACAAGCCAAGTGATTCTCACCCTGAGATGGCAAAAACAGCACAGCCAGAGCTCGAGTGGCGGACAAGGTCACTCCTGCTACAGGGGAGAAAGCTCTGCCAGACAGGCATCTCCATTCGGGTCCTGAACGCCCCGAGCCACTTGGAACGCTACTTTCCTAAAGGGCAAAGTCCCACATCTCAGCCCTAGCACCTTAATTGCTGGACCCTGGACAGATGATCTAACCTCTCCACACCTCAGTTTCCAGGTCCAAGAAACGGGAGCTTTACCATTCACCTTGGCACCCGTAAGAAACCCTGTGCTCCCAAGAGGAGCGTAGGCCGTGACTGCAGTGCTGTGGTCATTCCAGGCGGGGGGTACCAGTCTCTGCACCCTTCTCTGCCCCAACCTCCCCGCCCTCCACCTGGGATCAGGCAGGGCTGGTCTTCTGCAGGCCCCACACAAGGGAAGTCTGACTTTGAAGACCCTGGCAGGGGCTTGCCCCCCCCCCTGGTCCAGGCCACTGGGGCTTGACTCTGAAGGCACTCTGTTGCATTTCTGCTTGGCTGTGCTTTCGAGTTGGTCCCATTCTTTCAAATGGCTTCCTGGGACCACTCATGCAAATCCTCTAAAAAAAACTCACTGTCTCCCAGCTGCTTCGGATTCGTAGTGACCCTATAGGGTAGGATAGAACTGGCCCCAGGCCCGCTGTGGGTTTCTGAGACGGCAGCTCTTTACGAGGGTGAAAAAGCCTAGTCTTTCTCCTGCAGCATGGCTGGTGGTTTTGAACTACTGACCTTGTAGTTAGCAGCCCAACTTATAGCCACGATGCCACCAGGGCTCCTAGACAAATCTTATGGAGAACTTATTGAACTCAACCCTCCTTCCATCACAACGATTAACCGTGACCCACAGAGCAAGATATGGGCTCTCACCTACCCCCAACACCAATGAGACTTATTTTAGAGGCTCTCCCCACCCCCGGCTTTCTAGGAAAAAAGATCCCAGACCACCTCCTACACTAGGAAGGTCCTCTGAGGGGGTGCTGTTACCTTAGGAAACTGCTCTGCAGGTCCGACGACCAGCAAAATGGTGGGTCTCTTGTCCGTGGCGTCAGCCCTTCCGTTTGGTTTTCCTGCCATGCTTGACACCTGGTCTCCTTGGGCAGGAGCCAGGGTGCCGCTGGCTTCATGATCTGCGCCCTGTCTGGAGCCTTGGCACCCAGCCCTCAGGAAAACACTAGACAGAAAGTGCCACAGCACCAGCAACATCCCGGCGCCCTGAGAACACTGCCGGCGGCGTCTGCTCACTTCAGAGGAGGGATGTGACCACAATACCAAGGCTTTCTGCCCAGCTCTCTGCGAGGCAAGCCTGGGAACTGCCTTCCCTTTTCGAATTTGCTAGCACCACTGTTGTGCCTGGCCCGCGAAGCCGCTCCCTCTGTGAGCCTCGCCGGGTAGCTGGCCACAGGGAGAGAGCAGCTGCAGCTTCAATAGACGCTCACTTCTGCAGGTGGATGGAGGATGGTTGGATGTCTGGCTTTAAAAACCCAAAACACGGAAGGAGCAATAGCCAAACAGACCTCTCCAGGCAGCAGCCATTTCCAGCTCCCAATTATTCAGCTGTGCTCGCTCAACTAATGATCCGCACGCAGGCGGAGGACCCACGCATCCAGGCTGCATTCTCACTGCAGCAGGGCCTGGCCAATCACCTCTGCCGACACTACCGTGTTCATGATGCCAACTGGCAGCATCCCTCCAATCACAGGCGCACAAAGCCTGGTTTCCTGCGGGAAGTCGGCGACCTCCAGATGAGGCTCCCCTCTCCAGGAATCCACCCCGAGGCTGGCTGCTTCCGCTGGGGCCAGATTCCTACTCGCCACGGGGGCAGTGTCCGGGATGCAGTCACCATTATGTTGAACAAGATGCAGAGTCCTTGGCCACACTTGGAAGACGTCTCCCATCCGGCATCAAAGAGAATGCCTGCTATCGTCGGTCCTTTTTTTCCTGTGTCTCCTTTTACACTGCGAGCTTCCTGGGGGCAAAGTCCATGTGAATCCTTTCTAGTGTCTAGACCCAGGCTAAGTCTGTAGTCTTTCTGAGCAAAAGGACTGTGAATAAGAAAGAATTACCCTTTCTAAATCGACTGGCTGACAAATGCACCCCCCCAACACACACACACACACACACACGATTCTTTGGTAGTGTTCATAACCTTTCTTCATCAACACAAGTATGAAGCCAGTTTAAAAAACGTATATTAATGAGGGGATGGGAAAATTACACACGCTCATAGATTGCTACAAGAATGCAACTCAGTACAACTTCTCTGGAGGATTTGACAACAGCTATCAACATTTCAAAAGCACAAACCCTCTGAGACATGGTGCCTCCACTTTTCGGAATCTATCCTGTGGATGTATTAGCACAGGTGCGTAGCCCCTCAGCATTATCTTAGAATATTTTCAGCAGCCTTATTTATAACAACACACTTTTAGAAATAACCTAGTTTGTTTGTTTTTAAGGGAAAAAGACAAAAACCGAACCCACGGGCATTGAATCGATTCCGACTCACAACGACCCTATAGGACAGGGCACAACTGCCCCATGGGTTTCTGACACTGCGACTCTTCATGGACATAGAAAGCCTTATTTTTTCCATCTGAGCAGCTGGTTGTTCAAACTGCACCCTGGCGCATAACCACTCTGCCACCCTGGCTTCTGCTTCAAATTGTGGGACATTCATACGGAACCCAACACACACTGGAACCCTATGCCACTATTATTCAAAGGTTAGGAATAACCTTAAAGTAGCCTGTGGAAAGGTCAGGAGGGAGAGCATAGTAGGCTGAGATTCATTTCTGAGCATGTCTCGATGAAGATTCTCGCGAGAAGGATACACATGTAAAAGCAAAAAAAACGATAGAACTGCAGGGACAACCAGATCTCAGCATCCGTCTCTCAGTAACTAGTAGACTAGATCGACAGATTCATAGTATTCCAAAACGCTCACTGCCACTGAGCTGACACCAACTCCTAGTGACCCTACAGGAGCGAGAAGAACTGTCTCCGTGAGTTTCCACGGCTATAACTTGTACCTGGAGTCTCAAGCCTTTTCTCCCTTGGAGTGGCCGGGGATTTTGAACTGCTGACCTTGTGGTTAACAGCTCAATGTGTCACTACTGTGCCACTAGGGCTCATATACAAGGAGGTATCCAAATAAAAATGTTTTTCTCCCCCCAATTATTAAAAAAATTTTTTACCAAACAACCGTATCACCTTCACAGTACTCTCCATTACATTTAATACATTTGCCAAATCTATGATTCCATTCTTGGAAACATTTTCCAAACTCATCTGTTTGGATGGCGGACAGCCCCTCCCTTATTTTTCCTTCACATCTTCTACGTCATCAAATCGCTGTCCTTTCATGTCCCTCTTCATTCACGGAAACAGAGAGAAGTCCCATGGAATGAGCTCAGATGAGTCAGGTGCGTGGGGCTAGGGAGGCATGCTTTTTTTTTTTGCCAAAAACTGGCGCACTGGGATGGCCGTGTGAGCAGGTGCATTGTTGTGGTGGCAAAACTAGTCCCCTGACTGCCACAAATCAGGCCTTTTTGGTTGCACACTGTTACGCCATCTTTTCAGAACCTCTACATAGAAAGCTTGATTAACAGTCTGACCTAGTGGAACAAGTTCCAAATGCATTATATTATGCGTCAACATGTTCGCCTGTTTGGGAAGTTGACGGATACACAGAAAGAGGTTCGTCATCAGTCGACATTTCACCTTTTTTGAAATGAGAAAACCACTCGTACACTCCTATGAGTTTTTCCCCCAACCCTGTTTTTCGCCCCCTTGCAAGCTGTATCCCACATCACAATAGTTTCGGAGGCATTTACCCCAAGCGGGAAACAAAATTTCATAGCCCCACGCTGTTCTCTCTTTTTTTTTTTTTTTAACATTTTATTAGGGGCTCATACAACTGTTATCCCAATCCATACACACATCAATTGTGTAAAGCGCATTTGTACATCGTTTCTCAAAACATTTTCTCTCCACTTAAACCCCCGACATTAGGTCCTCATTTTTCCCCTCCCTCCCGCATGAGCCCTTGATAGTTTACAAATGGGTATTTACGCTGTTCTCTTAAATCTGCCATCACAAAAAACAAGGTTGGAGCAAAACTGCTTTTATGAAAAAATTTTGTGACCCCACCTAGAGAGGAAAATTCATACAACGAAAGCTTTTCTGTCTGTTTTTTGTTTGTTTGTTTGGGGGGTGGGGGCACCCCCTCTTGCAAACGCACGTGTGTGTGTGTGTGTCCATGTGTGTGTATCAGTAAGGGCATAGAAGATTTAAACGACACTATCAACTAATCTGACCTAATTGACACTTACAAAATGCTCCACTCGACACACTCTGGCCGTAAAGGAGCGTCCAGTGGAAAAGGAGTCCATTCACAGAGCTTGTTCTCTGTCCGCACGGGAATTCAGTAGAAAGCAGTGACAAAAGATATGCGGGAAGCCCCAGAGAGCTGCACACTGCGTAACACAAACCCGAATCACCCACAGGCCAAAAAGAACCCCGGTGGGAAAGCACACGGCTTGAACAGCGTGTGAAAGGCGAGCACAGCAAAATCGGTGCCACGAAGCCCTGCAGAGCTTCACCGGAAAAGTCTCCATCAGTAAGCTCGGCTTCGAACTTAAGGGCTCAGAAAGAGAACAAGTGAAGTTCAAAGTCGCAGAAGAATAAGCGACCATGCCTTCCTTACCTTCGTCTCCCTCAGCCCGCACTGCAGCCAGGGACCCAGGGACCTTGTTCCCTTACCTCGTGCCAATGTCCTTCTTTAGAAGCCCTGCCTTGAGCCTTTGATTTCCTTGTGGGTCAATACATTCCACCTCTTTCTCTTTGTACCCCAGTGCTACTCAAACCAGCAGTATCTGGTAGACCAGCGGTTTGTTTTAGGTTATATGCGGATTATACAGTGCAACTGTTCACTACATGTAGCTTCCTTGGAAGGAGGGACGGACCACCAATATTCGGGGGCAAGGCTGGCAAGTGAGACCACCCTGAACTTGTGACTTGCAGGCACCAAAGATGGGGGATGAACAGGTGGCACCTTCTTCATTCTTGCACCCATTGTTATGAGCCACCCATTTCTCCCCAACCGCCTGCCATGACCCTAGGAAGCTACCCTTCTAGTCACTACATCGTAGATTTACCTACCTTGAACTTCACTGAAATAAAACCCAACAATAACAAAATAAGAAAATCCTCTCTGAAAGAAGGAAGAAACATTAAAAAGGGGTCCAACCCTACCTTACTCTGACCCACGCTCCCTGTTCCGTAGTTTATGCCGCCCCACCCCCACATGGAGGAGGTGTGTGTCTGGCAGCCCCATTTGCTTGCTGTCCTTGAAGCCCAGCAGGGCAATAGTCAACTCTAGATTCTAAACTGTATGTCCTCCCCCACCCCCCATGTTATTGTTACTGGTGAGGAAGTATTAAACAAATAGCCCTGTAGTAATAATCAAACAAATAAATAAAAAGGGAAAATGGTAAGATGGCAAGTTTGAACATAACTATTATCTGCAGCCTAGGGGTCCTGGTAGTGTAGTGGGTGTGCACTGGGGTGCGATCTGCAAAGTGGCAGTTCAAAACCACCAGCCACTCGTTGGGAGAAAGATGGGGCTTTCTACTCCTGTACACAGTTACAGTCTGGGAAACCCACAGGGCCAATCTACCCTGTCCTAGGGTCACCATGAGTCAGCACTGACTCACAATATCTGCAGCAATCTACTTTCCAATACACTCCGAAGACAAGACTATTCACATCCCTGGTTAATGAACCAAGAGAATTCAATGGAGGTTTATCCAGGTGGGGGCTCTGCAAATGGATCTGGAGCTTTTACCTCCATCCACAGCCTTCCGAAATCTGGGTGCTCTGAATTTAAGCTCTAATTCAATTCCCTCCTTTGATCTTAGACTTTACCGTTCAGGATCCTTGGATCACACAGGCTGACGAGGAAAGCAACAGCTTGTAAAGGACTCAACTCTGTGGGAAAGTCAAAATGAAGAGCATCTGACCCGTTCCAGATCTCACCTGATGTACTGAGTAGGGTATAAAACTCTCTGGAGCTTCACATCACACAGGTAAACCGGAGATTCCCAAGGAAGTTTTAGAACAAGGACGCAGAGAGTTCTTATTACCAGCCAAGTTACATGATGCGTCTCATCTATCAGAGTTAGCTACCCACTGCCTCTCTATCTTGTAATTATTACCATTCAGAAGAGATGTCAGAGGAAAGACTTGAAACACTTTTTTTTTTTAATGAAGCCAGATTTTATTTGACAGAAAGCCAGACTGCTTTCTCGATGGATTAGATAACAAGGGCTGGCTCTGCCATCTAGGTTACGTAGAGGGCATTTCCCATCATTGAATACGTAAAACCTGCAGCTCTATTTAGGAGCACTATGTGCCGGCATCCACGCAATGGCAGTGGGGTTGGTGGAAGGCTTTGACCAAAACAAAAATGAAAACGCCCCAAAACCTGACAGTACATATAGGTATATAATATGTCAGAAATGATCTCCTCTACCACTATTAAACTTGCCATATAA